AAGGTATCCTCATTTAAGATTAACTTTGCATTTCTACTGTGAAGTAAAGGAAACAGTGCTCACAGAAGTGAAGTCAGAAAACAAAGGGAAATCAGAAATCAGGGAAAAGGTGAGTGTGAGTTGATACTGAGGTTGCTGGTGAGATGCTCATGGCAGGCTGTCTATCTCCATTTTTGTTTCAGGGATGTAAAGGACTGCTCAGGCTGAACAAGTCTCTGTTGCTAGGGAAAGCCTGACCCAGCTGGAGTAGACTTGTGTTGAAAAGGCTTTAGGACTGTGAAAGGGATGTGCTGGTTTGACTCAGTCACTCGGAGCTGCCTTGGTGCTGCTTTTTCTGAGACCTTTTGGTGTTGAGAGAGCCAGATAGTGGTAGTTGCTCCATCTTTAACTTTCGGCTACTTTAGAGGATATTGAGACTGTGCAGCCTTCTAATGTCATCCAAAAAAGTGAAGGGTCAAAGGCAAGGCTTAAAATGCCGAAAAGTGTGGTTTTCTTCAAGAAAAACATATATAGTTGTGTTTGTTTAGAACTTCTAAATGGAGAAACCTGGAGGAATAGAAAACTTGTAACTACACCATGATGAAATTGCTTCTTGTAGGAAAATAATCCTTCTCTTTTTAACACCAGCGAATGTGTGAGCTGTCAGTGCTGCCCATGAACACCTTGGTATTGATAGTGAATTAGCTGTGATGAATTTATGTCCAGCTGGGATGTGGTGTAGCCAGCAGAAGTTGTAGTGTAGTGTTGAACAGAAAGCATTCTGCTGCTTTGTTTGTGCTAGCATGGGATTTTACAGAAGGAAGGGAAGGGTTCCTTCCAAACACTGAGGGGCAACAGCCAAGTCCTTTCAGGAGTCACCAGTGTCCTGAAGTAACTGAGGATATGGGAAAAGAGCGAAGAGCTGCTGTGTGGAGTAAATGACTGTTTGTAAATAGATGGTGATTGAGATAGCAGGTGTTTCTCAAGGTGACAAGGCAGTTGTGCATTTCAAAATGGTTTTAATGATCCAAGTAAGCTTTGGCAAATCATAGTTAAGGTCGAGAGGAATCTGCTGGATCACTGCACTCTGTGACACAGCTTGTTTGGAGCCTGCCCAGCCTGTCCTCAGCAGTGGTGCTCTGTGTGTGTGTGTGTGTGTGTGTGTGTTCACAGCCCCAGCTCTGCTCCCAGCCAGGGCACCACTTACACGGAGACTTGCCAGGAGGCTGTGCCAGATCAAGGAGCATTAATTACTCTCGTCGTATGAACCTGTTATGTGCAATCACTTCTCCTGGTAGTTCATTGACCCCATCTCAGTTACATGAGCAGGCTTGGATCTATCCTCTGGCTAGGAATGGGCTGCAAGAGATCTGGATGGCTGGGGTGTGGAGTGGGTATTTCTGTTGCAGTTTGCCCGTGGGATGCTCCCAGGAAAAAAGAGCTCAACTGGGCTTCTTGCTGGATACCAGGTAGAGCTCAAGACTTCTGGACTAAAGAGTTGTTTCCAGGGAGACATTTGTGTTTGTCTAGGTAAAGAGTGCTTTGCTTCTCTTCAGTATTTCACCATATTGGGGAGTTATCTTTTAAACAAATAAATACATTGTTTTTAAATTTCTGGCTCTGAATTAGGTTTAGGCCGAGTCTGATAAATGATAAGCAGTTTAAGGAAAGGCTTGGAAATCTGTAGGCAGCTGAATGAAAACAGCATGAATCTGACTATTGGTAATTATCCTGGGTGTTTATAATCTACCCAGAACTAGTGGGGCAGGGTAATAAACAGCTGTTGCATTTTTATGTTCTGTTAGTGAGCAAAATAAATACATAATAGTTAATTTCCAATTCTGAATTGAACATGAAACAAAGGCAAGTTATTCTAGTCATATTAAAAAAGTTCTCTAAACTGGGATATCCAAAACTGTTAAATGGAGTATAAATGCTCTAAAGAGCATTTTCTGTGCACTTCATTGTGTCTGACAGACCAGTTTATATTGTGAGTCCATATATGCTTTCTCTCAAATGGCATCCAAAGAAAACAGAGCACAGCCAGATGGAAATTGGAGTTGACTTTGAGCTCTGATTAATTTGTTTTTCATATAATCCTTTTCAGAGCAGCAAGAAAAACGTGAGAAAAAGATGACGTATTGTTGTATAATTAACTCTGGTGAACAACGTGAACTTAAAAGAAATTTCTTTTAATGGGAACTGATTTTTCCAAGTGTCAGGATGGCCCACAATACTTGTCCTATTTCACATTTATGTCTCTGCAGTTCTCATTATATGTGTAAAGTTCTGCAAAACACAACTCACTAGATGAACTAATAAGTGCTTAAATCAAAAATGTCAACAGCCACTCATCTGTGATCAATTTCTAATGTGGGACCCCACTGGACTTCATCCTTTTCCATGCTGAGGGGATGATGTTTCATAACTGAGGCAAGCGAGTGCATACTTTTGCCATAAAGCTCTAGAAACTTCATTGATTTATAAAAACATTAAATATCTAAAATTAAGTAAGTTTTGAGCTGAAATAAACATAAAGCTAAAAGCAATGACTTTGAAAGCCCAGCCTCAGACAGAGACATGAACAGATATATAATGCTTTAGTTAAGGGTTGCTGCCATTTCTCTTACAAATTGTTCTTTAGGGTATTGTAACTCAGCTGTTTTTAAACCCATCACTCTGGAACCTTGCCTGCAAAATGTCAGCGCAAGTGCAAATTTTATTTCTTTAACAAAATAAAGGGCTTGGAGCAGTTAGGCTTTCTAAACTTTTATGGCAGGAAAATAAATTCCACTACTTTTGCTTTGCCATAGCAGGAGCCATACTGTTCACCTTGGCCTGCCAGTAGGCAGAGATGGAAACCAGAAGGGTTTAATGGGGGACACTCTGTGTGGTTTAATTTGCCTTTTCAAAACAAGAGAAGCCCAATGTCAGGGTGCCCTTTGGACAGAGGGCACAGTCCCTAGGGTGGATGGAGGGTTTGTGGCTTTAGAAGGTGATTTCTGAAGTTGAAAGCAAGATGTGAGTACCAGCTCATTAAAGGAATTTAATAAGGCTTGAGGTTATTTTTCCTACAGGTTCAGAGGAGAACCCCTCACTTTTTATGCACTAATCAGTGCATCTCTTACCAAATCTATTATCTTGGAGTTCTTTAACATCCTCCCTCTTCCATCGGGCTTCTAAAGCTGGGTAGTGACAACCCATTGACCCTTTTGAATGTTTTCCTGAAGTTCAAGCCTTGACACATACTCCAGCAGTAGAGTCCAATTTTTCTGAAATCAGTCTGTACGAAAATGGTGATTTCCTGTCTCAGTGCTCATGAGGACCAAGTGTTCCTGGTCTTACATTAGTCTTAGTGTTTATTTTTTTTTTAAGGTCTAGGGTATGAACTTTCTTGTACATAGCTACTTCAGTGCAGCAAGTCACATTTAATAGCCTTTGCTTTCAGCTTGAATCTTTACAGAAGGAAGATTAGGTAATAGTTTGTGTAGAAACATCTGTTTCCTAACAAAGATCTCGCCCTATTTTATTTTTTTATTCTGTCCCACTAACCAGAAAGTCCTTTAGTCTTTTAAAGACTTAGAAGTCTTTAAGTCCTTGTTGGGTATTAGAGTTGCTGTGGTTTTAGCATGCTCATGCTCTGGATCCTTTGTTAGCTTAAGTTATTAGCCTCAGATAAGTGTTGTGGGATGGAAGGACTGCTTTCTATTGTCAGTGCAATTTCTGAATCTCTGGACAATTTGTCTGGGTTAGAATTTAAGTTTTTTGGCTCCAGTGCTTGTTTAGACCTTTCCCTTGTCTGAGGAGAAGATGTTGTTAAAATAATTAAGCCTAGCATGCATTAAAAGAGAACCTTTCCACAAAATTGAATTGCTTGGTGTTTATTTGAGTTTTGGGTAGCTTAAATAAATAGGCATTTTGCTTTGTTTGCTTACAAGCAACTTAGTATCTCTAATGGGGAATCTTTTTCCATGTTTTCCAAAGAAGACCGGCTCTGAGGGGTTTGAAGAACAACAGCTCTCTACACTCTGTAGTTCTTTGTTTTACATCCAAGTGGATTGTATGTGTCTAAATATTACATTATTAACACACATGTCTTCCAGCCCTTTTAACATTGTTATTGTGATATGTCTCTAATATGGAAAGACTTAATACATAGATTTATTAGTGAATAATCCTTTTGGTCATTGTTTTCTTGAGAGTTCATAGAGTTCAGTCTGCTGTTTTCAAGGAAAGATTCTTCACTGTGATGCTGCATGTTCTTGTAAATAAATTTATCCTGTGTTTCTTAGAACTCAAGAGACTTTTTTATATCTTGGTGCCAAAATTAGTGAAACTTGGTTTACTGGAACATGCAAACAGGAATTCAGTGCTATAAGTCCAAGCATTTTGTTTTCTTCCCAGTCACAGAGCAGGAAGTGCTGACCAGCTTTCCATGGATTTAGTGTTGTTGCTGACCTACTGCAAGACTAGTATTCCAAGAATTAGGGCTTGTTTGGCGTGTGACCCTGGAAAGAAAGAGTGATTTGAGGCCACAGTTGCAATTTTCTGGGAAATGCCCTCTTTGTGTGTATGTGTCTTAAGGGGGTGGGGGGTGAATTAGTAAGGTGGATCACTTTCTGTTTTACCTGACTGGTTGGAAGTGATGTGGCTCAAGCCCTGCTCTGGGCACACATTCATGATCTAATTTGAAGCAGGGTGTGCAGATGCATTTGGTTTATCTTTGTGTTCCTCAGTGTAATGCCGCTCTTGTTGTCAGCAGTAATAAACCAACATTTCTCTGTGGGATGCAGACTATAGGGAGAGCTGCCATCCCTGTGCTGCTCCTGGTAGTGCTTAGTGTGAGAGGTTAAATGAAATGAAGATAACATGTAGGTGTAAATCAAGCACTCATTTTCTATTTTAACACTGCAACCTAATTAAAAGTTAAAAACTTCATGGCCATCAGGATATCCTTGCGCTCCAGTTTCAGAAGGCTTAGAAATGCCTTATTTACCAACTTCTCTTCTTTTCCATTTCAGTCTGTGGGCCAAATGTCGACATTCGCAATGATATCCACGAGCTGAAGCGCCTGGAGAACTGCACGGTGATCGAGGGCTTCCTGCAGATCCTGCTCATCTCCAAAGCCGAGGATTACCGCAACTTCCGCTTCCCAAAGCTCACTGTCATCACTGACTATCTGCTGCTGTTCCGTGTGGCAGGCTTGGAAAGCCTCAGTGATCTCTTCCCCAACCTCACAGTCATTCGTGGCAGGAACCTCTTCTACAACTATGCCTTGGTTATCTTTGAAATGACAAATCTTAAAGAGATTGGGCTGCACAACTTGAGGAACATCACCCGCGGGGCCATCCGGATCGAGAAGAACTCTGACCTGTGTTACCTCTCCACGGTGGACTGGTCTCTCATCCTAGATGCAGTGTCCAATAACTACATTGTTGGGAATAAACCTCCAAAGGAGTGTGGGGACTTGTGTCCGGGAACAATGGAGGAGAAGCCATTGTGTGAGAAGACATCTATTAACAATGAGTACAACTACCGCTGCTGGACCACCAACCACTGCCAGAAAAGTAAGATTTGAGTAGATACCCTGTTTTTGTTACTGCTTTTGGAAGTAAACATTTAGTTTTGTGGTTTTATTTCAATCTCTTCAGCAACTGAAACTTTTATTCTAGCTGTGTATAGTTTACATGAGTTACCCAGTTTCCACACAAATAGATTCTTTCCCAATCAGTAAAGAGAAAACAACAAATCAGCAACTGTAAAACAAACCCCAACAAACTCCCTGAGTTACCTCCTCATGGAAAAGGTGGGAAATGTAAGTATGGAACCAATGCCATTGTAGCCAAGCTGGGGGCAGCTTTACCTCTCTTGAGGACTTTGGCAGGAGGTGGCCACTGAGTGCCATCTCCTCCTGCTGAAGTGACATTCCATGTGTGCCAGAGCTGTTGCTGTGTTGAAGCTGGTAACTGGACTTTGTTTTTTGCTTCTCTTGGCATGCACCTCCAGACATTCCTGTAATGGTAAATCCTGTACGTAAGGACTTGTTTACTGACATTAATTTTCATGGTACAGTCTGTGGAGTCAAAGAGTCCAAAAACCTGATCTCTTCTCACTTTTTAAAAATAGAGTAAACAAACACATAGTTTACTCAGGTAACATGATTACATGGCAGGCTTTTTGAGTTCATCCTGTAACTTTACGAAAGCTGAGCCCTGCTGTATCAGTAGGGCTTAATTACAGTCGTCACTGGGAGGAACAATCCCTAAATTCCACATGCAGTCTTGACCAAAGCTGCCATAATGGTAGAAAGTGTGAGAGAAATCAGGATTATATTCAGGTTACCTTCATCTGGGGATGTTGTGTTTTTCTAAAGTGGCTTGTCAGTTGCTTGTGGAGTCCTCCTGTTCAATTAGAACTGCAATTAAAGTAGCTCGTAGGGCAGTTTCAGTCAACACATGCCAAAAATACCTCTGCAAAAAGGCATTTGGAGTATGTGCTTTTATCAATACTTACAGGAAATAAAGTTCGTTTTTTAAACAAAGCAAAGAAACCCCCTCAGCCTGTTACTGGGAGACTTTGTGCTTTGCCCAGGGCAAGGGGAGTGTTGCTATGAGTCCTGCAGGCCAAATTTATGTCTTCATTAACAGAGTGTAACTCTGTTGTCTGCAGAGGGTGACCAAGGTGACTCCTGTGCAACCTCATTGCCCTCAGTGGTTTGAATGGATGTAACAAGAGTGTATTTAATGAGATATAACGACTTACTTGCTTTCTGTTGAGTGCTTTGCCTATTCGGAGCAGACAAAAGTAACGTGCAAAAAACCTTTTTTGGCATCTAAAGGACTGTTAAAATAATTTGGATCCCAAATACACATGAGAAGAAATTTGTTTAAATAAAATGAGGTCATAGTTAGACCGTGATAGCAGAACTTTGAAGGCAAGGGTGTAGGTAATGGGTTTTTTTTTCCATATATGCTTTCATCTCCTTTCATGGGAGATTGTGAAAAAGAAAGCAAGTATTGGAAAAGAGCCTTGAAAAGCTTGTTAAGAGCATTACAGTGTGGAAGAACAATTTGGTTTAGAGTATCTTCGAATGTACAGCATATAAAGAAATGATCAAGTTCTAAATCTATAAAAAGAGTGAGAAATTCGGATCTGTTCTAATCTGTTTGTTGTGATAAGCTACAGACTTTGAGGAAGATGACTTTAAATTTGCAGGCCATTCATGTAGAAAGAAAACAACTCCAAAGTGCTCCTGCTCTGAAGAAAAACAAGGGAGGTATAAAAGTGCAGTTGTTCCAAAGGAAGCTTTTTGTCTCCCCTGCTAGATTGCTAGGGCGCTTTGGCAATGAACTCCTGATCAGGAGAGGACTCTTGCAGTACAAAATCACACAAGACATGAAAAAGAATAGAAGGAAGAACTTTTCAGTTACTGAACGTTTCAGTCGGCATTTTCCTACCGGTCGAGATCTGACACCTATGTTATTTTCCAGGGAATATTTTTCTAGTGCAGTATCTAATTTAACCCTGACATTCTCCTTGTGCGTCACAGTAATGTCAAGCTGAAAATGCTCTCTATCATTCAGGGCTCCTTTGTGCCTCTTTATTTTTCTTTGCTCTGGCTCTGTGGAGGAGTGCGTATTAAATCTCTCTTGTCCTTGTTTAGGTTTTACACTGAAAGATCTGAAGTTGGTGGGTAAATGTTGTGTGGGAACACTTGGTACTTTAAGTAGCCTGGCTTCTGTAATTCTGCCGTTGAGTGGAAGTTGTTTTTTTCCTTCTTTTTCTTGCTCACAAACAAAGGAAGAAGCTTGTGCTTCCTTCAATATAACTTGTGCGGGAACAATGCTGAGGAAGGAGGGAGGGAAAGATATGCTGTGTCTGACTTAGAATAATCCATGGACATTTCTATAGGAGAGCAAGCTACAAAGAAACTGTAACTTACAACTTTTTCTGGGTATTTTTAAGGTTCAGCATAAGGCGTCAGCAGCTCTCCTGCCAGTTTGGTTGCCCTGGTTTCTGTGTAGTGTACATTCCTTTACCTTCGAGTGCCCCAAGGCAGCAGCAATACTAGTTTGCTCTCTTTGGAGCTGCAGCATGTCGTGTTGGGCTTGGCATGCTCTCTTCTCTCCGACTTGCACCTACTTTTATGTTGGTGTGTTAAATGCCAGCTGTGCCTCACTGGGGTTGCAGGTCCACAGAGAAGAATCCCTCAAGATAAAAGGAGAGTACTGAAGTTGTTTGTTTGCATCAGTGCTTTGGCACAGGTAGAGATAGAAAAGATAAAAACTGAGCGTCCAGACATACAAATGAGACTATGGCCTTTTATGTTTTTCTTTTTTTCTGGCAGTTGTGACTGCTGGAAAGGTTTACGGAAGCTGCCTGCATCTTGCACAGCAACTGATGTGAGAACCAGAAAAACTGTTCTGCTGTACCCCTTGCAAGACTTGTGTCTGATGACACACTAGCTCTGCCGGCCCAGTGGTCTGCTGTAAAGAAAACTCGGGTTGTTTTCTGTATTCTTCTTGCTGATGATTAACTTTTGAGGTCTACTGCCTTAGTCACTAGGCCTTTCCAAGCCTGCAGAAACCAAATGTAAATTACACCCTTGAAAGCCTGCCTGGAAGTTCAGGATCCCTTGTCTGCCATAACCTTTGTGTTCTTTTTCAAGCAAGTCCAACTAATGCTTCCTAAGATACTTTTGCTGTTGCTTGGGCCATAAGAAATTAACTGGGCAAACAATTTGGGAACGTCATAGTAAAACTAGCAGTGATCTGTATATAAGACCTATGGTGCCCTGTTGGGTTTTTTCCTCCTTATCTTAATTATTTGTCTTCTTTCCCCCAGTTATGCTGGAGATGCTCAAATACTTTTTGAAACTTTCCCTACACAGAGAAAAGACAAAGAGTCTATTTATTGGGGAGACAGGCTGTTAGGTCTGTGAGGAAAGGATGTTGGCTTCAGCTGCTGCTTCTGTGGGGCAGGATGAGAGCAGAGTCTGGGTCCCCCCGTTGTGAGAGAGCAAATTAGAGCTCCCGTATTTCCCAAAGGGGATGGGATAGCCATGCTTCCCATCAAAACAATGACAGGGAGGATCTGAAGTGTGTGAGGCAGCTTTAAGATTAGAGTTTAGGCATTAAAAAAAGGATGTGTAAGCTGACATTGTAGAGAGGACATGGATTAGGGCTGTAAGCATTAAGCACTTGGTTCAAAAGAGGTGAATTTGATACGAAACAATAGCTCATGTAGACCTCACTGCACAATACAACAGGAGAAAACTTTGAGCTTCTGAATGTGTGAAACTGAGGACCATGGAAAAGGCATGTGAGGATTTGGAGGCCGATGAAGCAGATGGCAGCTGAGCACAAAATGTTTTTAATGAAAATGTATCCGTATTCATTTTTGAATTGGTTTGACAATGGCCCGAGAAGATACGGTGTATGAGGAGCAGGAGGGAGAGAATGACAGTGAGTGGGAAGAGTGGTCCATATGTGCCTTCTACTAAAATGTTTAAACATATGGAGACAGTAACATGATGTATTCTCACAAATATTCGGAATCTGCTCCTGTTTGTTTACACGGAGCTCAGAAGATAATGCAGTTGAGTGGTGTCATTTGACATGGCTCCATTGACTTGTGCAGTGCTTACAGCGTGCACCAGCTGGGAATCTGCTCCCTGTTGATTCAGCAGAGTAGTGCTGAAAACCATGTGCTGCACTCTTTTTTCTCCCCCCCTTTCTCTCCTTGTCTTTCCCTCTCTGAGGAGTATTCACTGTATTCTTTGTCCTTTAGAAATAGTGAGCATACATGAACTGTGTAGGCAGCAAGAGAAGGAAAGAAGTTGGGAGCCAGAGATGATGAATCAAATTATTCTTATTTTGCTTAAAATTATATTTGCATGCTTTTTTTTTCTGTTTGGTGCTACTTTTTTTTTTTTTTCCCTAAAACACTGAAATACAGTAGATATATATATGTCAGCAGAGGACAACATGCTTCAAGTTTTAGTCTTTCAGCAAGTAAATGTGGTATAATGTTAAGTGAGGCTTGTCTATGTAACACTAATCCTGCCCTTGTTGGTTTAAAAAGTTTAAGTATCATATAAACCTGACCATATTTTGAAATGGACAGGTTGTTTGTTGGTTGTATTTGGTTGGTATGTGAACTCTCCAGCAAATAAACATCTTCTGAAAGGAATAAACAGACAAAAAGATAATAATTGTAAAAGACACAGTTGGTGTCACTGAGTTAGAAAAATCTGGAGTATGTTAAAAAAAAAATTGTTAGTGTTTTCCTTCTGAATGAAGTTTTTTGCTGACTTTTGCTCCCCTCCTGAGAAGTTTGCTCTCCAGCCAGAGGTTTCCCAGAATTTTTATTATGGCTGTGAGAGCATATTTAATTAGTAAGCTGGAATGGCCGCAGAGCAGTTTAGGCCAATCTGCAGTTAATTACTGTAGCAGTGGTTTACATTCTGAGAAAAGGGCTAAAATTAAACAAATGTATACTTGCCATTTTTCTTTGTTCTATTATAAAATGGCATAACCTGGGAAGAATCTTGCAGTCTGCACTGGCC